AGCAGGAACCACAAGATGCAGAACAGACCCACAAAGGCTGCATATAATTGAAAATATCAAACAGACAATATAAAAGCATTTTTAATAGTTTAAAGAAATAAATGGACAGGATGATAAAGGAACAAATAATAATCAGGCAGCCCTGGCCGGCTTAGCTCAGTGGAGGGAGTACTGGCCTGCGGACTGAAGGGTCACAGGTTTGATTCCGGTCAATGGCACATGCCTGGGTTGCAGGCTTGATCCCCAGTGTGGGGTCTGCAGGAGACAGCCAATGATTCTTTCTCATCACTGATGTTTCTATCTCTCCCTCTCCCTTCCTCTCTGAAATCAATAAAAATATTTTTTTAAAAAAACTGACCAGGCAATTTTGAAAAAGAATCAGAGCATTCACACCCAACACTAAGGGATGAACCGTGATTGGTCAAAGCAATCAAATTCCCTCTGCCGATGGCTGGTCCAAGGATGTACACATGACCCCCTCTGGCCAACGTGATATTAAGAGGGAGGTCGTGTGGGGGCTTCTGAGAAAGCTTCTTCCTTCCTCATTAGAGAAACAGAGGATGGAAGAGCCACTGAACGTCTACCATCCCACTCTCTCCAGTTCCTGCTTTGGTTGCTACGAGGTGATGGATGGAGCAGCAGCACTCATATCGCCATCGCGAGGGCAAGTCCTAAAGAACCAAGAAGTGCCTACCTAGCACTATTACTCTGACTCTGTTAAGCTGTCAGATCAACTGGGTCAGCCTAATGCTGGCCTTCCCTCCTGAGGAAACAGTGAAGAGTCTCATGCAGGGAGCTAATTTTAGGGTGGTCTATGCAGTTACTTAGTCTCTTTCTGACAAGCTGTGGAATTAGAAAACAAAAGCCTTTTGCTAAGAAAAACATAGGCTACGACTAGATGTCTTTTTGTGCTCAACTCTGATTATGAAAAGAGAGCGACAAAGACAAGGAAAATTCTACAGAAGCCTTGACTGTAATTGTTTTAAAGGCCTGATTTTGAGCTGATAGAGGCGCTGAATTTATCATCTAGTGACTAAAATTAAGGGGCAACTCAAACTGTGGTTGGTGGCTGCTCCCCATACCATGCGGTAGATTTCCTCTGAATATACTCTCCTCCCACTCCTTGTAAAGAGAAAACTACTCTAGTTATCCGGCCGCTTTATTACCCAACACTATCTTTAAGGTTCCAGGATTAAGCCTTTACTCTCTGGAGGTGTTAGCCTCAAATGCTTACACATCTTTTGGAGATGTGTAAGCCTTTGTAGAATTTGAAGGGGGGAAAAAAGAATATGTTGTCCTGGCTGGTTTGGCTCAGTGGGGAGCACGTCAGCCCAGAGACTTAAGGGTCCCAGGTTCTATTCCGTTTAAGCACACGGCACGTACCTCATTGCAGGCTCCATCCACGGGCGCAAGTGGGAGGCAACCAATAGATGTTTCTCTCTCTGTCTCTCTCCCTCCCTTCCACTCTGAAAATCAATGGAAAAAATATCCGGTGAGGATTACAAAATAAAAGAATATGTTGATTTTGTAGAAAATGGTATTACCTATTACAACGTGTGCCTTACACTTGACTTGTACAGCAGGTCCTCGAATGACATTGTTTCATTAGCATGTTGATGAGTTCCAGGGTCAATGCACTCAAATCCCAGAAAACTCTCTTGGATTTGTTATGATGTCATTTCCTTTCGCTTATAGTCACAGAATCTACTGACCAGGGTAAGTGAGGATTTACTGAGGTGGCATCAACGTTGACTAGCCCTGCGCTGCCCTTTTTCCTTTACTTTCTTGGCTTTTCCAGCCCTATCTAGTCTCTTGGTAGAAGCCAACATTATTAGCCCCAGTCTTGGCAAAGTATATTCGTTAAAAGATTAAACCCTGAGTGCCTGGCCGGTGTGCCTCAGTGGTTGAGCATGGTCCTATGCACCAGGAGGTCATCCCATCGATTCCTGGTCAGGGCACATGGTTTCAGAGAGGAAGGAAGAGGGAGAGATAGGAACATAAATGATGAGAATCATCAGAAACATCAATGATGAGAGACATCAATCGGCTTTCTCCTGCACGCCCCCCACTGGGGATTGAGCCCGAAACCTGGGCATGTGCCCTGACTGAGAATAGAACTAACTATGGCCTCCTGGTTCATAGGTCGACACTCAACCACTGAGCCACACCGGCCAGGCAGAACTTTTTTTTTTTTTTTTTATTGATTTTTTACAGAGAGGAAGGGAGAGAGATAGAAAGTTAGAAACATCGATGAGAGAGAAACATCGATCAGCTGCCTCCTGCACATCTCCCACTGGGGATGTGCCCGCAACCCAGGTACATGCCCTTGACCGGAATCGAACCCGGGACCCTTCAGTCCGCAGACCGACGCTCTATCCGCTGAGCCAAACCGGTTTCGGCAGAACTTTTTTTTTTAATAGTCCCAAAGACTGTTAATTTTGTTAAAAGAGTTAAAGAGGCCACTAGACTAGGTGACTCCAGTGCCTTAAGGGGCCTATGTAAACAACCTAAAATTCTAAGCCAGGGTCAATGCACTCAAATCTCAGAAAATGAAATGCAAGAATAAAGACAGCCAATTAAAATTTAATCTGAGAAAATTAAACTCAAGAACAACTACCATGCAGCCAAAATAACTAGATTTCCCTAAATAGGACAACTGTTTAAGCTACAGCCAATTAAATAATTTCTTTGCTTCTGTGTTTCTCTATGAAAACCTCTACCCTAGCCCAGAGAGCACCTCTAGTCATTTTCAGTTTTGGCTGCCCGATTAAAATCATTAGCTCAAATGAACTCTTCAAAATGTAATGTGCCTCAGTTTATCTTTTTACATCTTATATAATCTTGAGAATGTTTGTTAAAGAAAAATATGATTTATTAAAATCTACCTTGTAGAATAGAAAAGGCACTTGATAAAATTCAACACACATTCATAAAAAATACCTCTAAACGAAGTGGGTTTAGAAGCGAATGTCCTCAACCTAACAAAGGACATTTATAAATAAATCTACAGCTGACATCACATTTAATGTCCAAAGACTCAACACTTTCCCCCTAAGATCAGGATCAAGACGAGGATGCCCACTCTCAGCATTTCTATTCAACACTATATTAGAGACACCAGTCAGTGTGATAAAATGAGAAAAAGGGAAAAAGAAAAGCATGAAGAATGGAAAGGAGGAAAACTTTTTATTCACAGACAATATGACTATGTAGAAAACCCCAAGGGATCTACACAAATCCCAAGGGATTCTCCTGTAAGAATTAACAGTGAATTTATCAAAGTCACAAGATAAAGGTCAGTATACAAAATCAATTGTATTTTTTTTACACTATCAACAAATGGAAACCTTTTAAAATATTAAAACAGCATCAATAATTTAGGCAAGAATTAATAATAGATGTTAAAATTAGTAAGTACAATTTGAGGAGTAACAAGTTATTTATATAGTCTCAAAGTATTTCTTCACATGATACAACCTTAACCAAATGATCAGTTAACGTCATCAGTAATGAAGTAAGTAGCATGTACCTCACAATCTGATGCACTGAGAA